ATGCATGCATACACACTGCAGTCTATTTCTGCCATACGAACACACGGTTACACTGAAGTCTTCTGTTCATGCCCACATCTGCAAAAGTGTTGGCTACTGTGCCCTGACAATAGCTGTGTGGCTGCATACCCTGTTTCAGTTGGGTAGATTGCGTCAGGTAGGTTTAATCTTGAGAGACCCCCTAGTTGCGACATGGTGCGGCGACAGCCCTGTTTTCAAGATGGCATGACCCTGAAACCTTAACTTAGAGGCTGAGTACCTTAGCCAATAAAAGGTTAACCTTTTCAATTATAGTAGGATTACAAAAGCCCCAAAATGTTAAAGGTTACGTACTCAGCCCCTACGTTAAAACACTGAAGGCGACATTTTCTGGCCAAAGTGCAGAGGTCTTCCGAACCATTCTGGAGCCTTCCAGCCTTGGCCCACTTCGTGGGCACTTCGGCCTCCGCTCTAGGGCGCGAGGCTCAAGAAAGGCAGGCCCCCCATCAGTCCTTCAGGTGTTTTGGTTTTGGGGTTAGGGCTCGTGAGGCTTAGGGCAGAGGAGGAGTAATTGCCATTGGGGGCACATTTGCGGTGTTTGTCCATTTTGATCTGTCTACGCCTCCGCAGGAATGAGGGAGCATGAGCATATTAAACCTGCACCCTACCGACACAAATCACAAGTTTCGCAGCCCGAAAGCTCACATGCCCAGTCCTGTGTTCGTTTCCGTCAGCAGCACTGACCTCGCTTGGCAGGCAGTGGGAAACTCACTGTGAGCTGTGAGTTCAGCCGCGCACAGCGAATGAAAGCACGCTGTATCGGCTTATAGGGTCCTGAAACTTCGCCGAATCAGTTTAATAAGTGTTATACCATGAGTCAAGTCAGTGTTTAAGGCTTGAGGATCTAGGGAATCTAGGGCCACTTCTCACCACGGAATCGCTGGCCTGTTGTGCGACAGCAGCTCCTCCTCGTTCTTTTGGGTTCGCCGCTTTGGCGTCGAGGAGGGGAGATCTTCAGGCGCCTGGTAACATGTCATGTGGGATCCCATAATATAGGAGCCTTCATAAGTAGAACAGGTATTTGGGGTACAATAAATTATCTAACTACAATAAGGAATCCCAAAAGTTCCCTTGCCCCGCGCCCCTCCACCCCACCCACAACCCGTAGCCCTAGCAAGTTTAGGGGTTCAGGGTTTATGGGGCTTGGGGTTTAGCATAGGGGTCCTGAGCCTCCTTCTTGCCTGCAGGCTTCTCGTGGAGTGCCCGTGGTGACCTATGGCCCCTGCAAGGATGCATTGTTATGAACGCCAATAGCAAGGGCAGACGCCCCAAGCATACAGTACAAATCAGGCAACGGCGTTCAGATTGTGTGCGTGGCTCAGGACTGCTCGTGAGTTCGCGCTGCTATATCTCCTGGTAAGGTTGCCACGATCATCATGCATGCTGGGATGCTAGCTGCCGCCAACATCATCTTCATCACCATCCCCTTCTAATCAGCATCAGCATCATCATCATCATCGTCATCAGCAGTTTGGTTGAGTTTAGCCACGCTGCTATTCTGACATTCGTCTAACTGCTGTCCATGCAGCTGCTCATGCGCTGCAGAAGTCTTGTTCCCGATGTGCATCCTCATAATGCTGCTGTAGCACTGCAGCTGGTACCGTGATCTTGTTGCAGTTCTGGGTGTTGCTGCAACCGCACAATTCGGGATATGTGCACCACCACCACCACCACCAACAACAAAAACAACAACAGCAGCAACCTCTGTGACAAAAGCGACGACAACGACGACTGCTGCTGCTGCTGCTGTCGCAGCTCTTGCAGCTGCTGCTGCTTTGTGCTGGTGTTAATTACTGCGGATGTAGAGCTTGGAAACCTGTAGGGGTGAAGGAGTGCAAGGGCCTAGCCCCTCGGATGCAAACGCTTAGTCGCTCTATATGCATAATTACATGAACTAACCTCATTACAGCTGGTTCAGGGTTTGGGCCAGGCTCATCAAAACCCGGGCACCACTGTAGACTGGTATATGGACTTGTCGCTGAGGCGGGGAGACGCAGAAGCACTGCATGTACGGCATAAAGCAGAAGCACCGATTACAAATCAATGGCATCCTCTCTGGTCAGCTATGAAAACATGCCCAGAATCCCCCTTCCGAATAAACGCAGATTATGCAAGAAGTGCCTTCCATCGCTGCCATCCTGGTGTCGCCGTCTTGGCCGGACCAAAAATCATAAATCATGTTTGTCTGGGGCTGTGTTTGATTTGTGTTGTTCCCCACCTGCCCAGCTGAGAAACGTCGCACCAATGTGGGTTTAGGGTCTAGAGTCGTTGAAAAGTTCAGGGTGTAGATAACTGAGACGACAAAGTATCTCTCACGAACCAGGCCTCAAACCCGGCATCCCATCATCTGTTCTTAGCAACCAAACAGCACTGCCCTTCATGGCCTCACAAGGCGCACATGAGAACAGCTGCAATGAAGGAACCTGATTGTGAAACCCTGGTCCTACATACCCAAAATTTTCGGATCCATGTAAAGAAACCAAAGTACAAATGGTAGGTCACCGGGAGCCCGCAAGCAAAGATCTGAGGTCCGTGCGCCCAGGTGCTTGGAAGCACTTGTTTGATGAGATCTCGCAGGGTTTACACTCTCACAACTCGGACAAGCCAGGCGAGGATCCATAGGTGCATAAGTCGGCGTGACACTGCAAGCTGCCCATGCATGCCACTATTCAAACCAAACGAAGTAAACCTACAAATCAAACCA